GCGCGGGTCCGAAAGCCGGGACTGGACTGGGGTGTGAGAAACGGTGTGCGATACGCCGGCGGTGAAGGACTACGGCGGGGTGAGGGAGTCCGTGGTGGGGGTCGGGGATCCTCCACATCCAAGAGCTCCAGATTGGAGATCAGGGCACATATCTCGCGGTCATCGAAATCGTCGTCGCCCGGAGGAAGGTTCTGGGTCATGGCAGCCAAGAGTCAACTCGCAGAGGGCAGAGGGTGGGTGGAGGACTCGGAGTGAACGATTGAGACAAAGAGATAAGTAAGGCACAGTTTCAGGTCTGTTTCTATCAGAAAGATTAGAAGCTGATGGCGACCATGGGGATTCCAGACCTCTCAGATTGAAGAAGGCGAGAGGTATCGCGCGTGGATTGCGAGTTTACTCGAGAAATGCAGTGGTGTTACGGAGGAAAGACAGAGCACCCAGAGTGGAGTACGAATTGAACCGAGAGAAAGGAATACTGTTTGTGAGGTAGTGGATCGGTGGGGGTGGCGCGCTGCGCGCCACCCACCTCGTGAATTGGAAAGAGCAGAGACGATCAGTGGAGGTCGATCTGTCCCCTTCTGGGTCCGCAGGCTAGGTCCGCGCTTACTGGCAAAGCCGTCACAGATCGCGAATCCCAATCGGGAAATGTGAGCGACATCTTTAGACTTTTTCGATAGGATTCACAATTCACAATTCACAATTCATCAATATTTATTCAGGTTGGGTAATGCTACTGCGACGGGAAAAATAGTATGAATATGTGGAGCACGCGCTCATCATTCTGAATCAGACGGTGGATCAGGGCCAGGCACAATGAGAAAAATGTGCGAACTTACGATCAAGCAACAACGGTGACCATGTGGTACTGCAGGCTCTCGTTGAAGGCAGCAATGGCGTCGGCCTGAGATTTGTATGCTTTCATGACGCCCCCAGAGACACTGGAAATGGCTGCCCACGCCAGGGCGTGGCTGAGAGTGACGCAGACGTAGCGTCCCTTGGTGACGCAGTACCAGTACCGTTCGAGCGTGGCATCGTCCGCGATGGGAAGGAGGCCGCCGGTGGGGATGACAATGTAGAGGGCGCCCACGATCCAGGGGCCACTGGTGCGGAATCCAGCAGAATTGACAGAGGGCGGGAGATCGGCGAGGGCAGACGGAGGGGCGGGCTCGGGCTCGGGCTGAGCATCGGGAACGTCAACTCCAGTGCTGGCAATGACGGGGGAGCCAGCTTGCTTGTCTACAAGGCGAATCAGTAATGTGGAGAATATAACGAGCCATATGCTTACTGGCGAGTGCCATGAACGCCTGGAAAGCAGCAAAAGTCTCTGTGAGGAAAAGGTCAACGTTGAGGATGAGGTGAAGAAGAGAAGGACCCACGAGCAGTGTCGAAGTCAGTGCCCGCTCCTGGGACAGAAGACTCTGTGCCAGGAGCAGTGCGAAACAAATTGGTCATTGATGGTGGTGGTTAAGGAAGAAGAGGGATTGTGAGATAAGCGAAGTGGGGTCAGCTTTTATACGCCTGGAGGATGCATTAGAACTAGCGCCTGGAGACCAAATTGACGAGCCCGAAATGAATTCTCACAGATATGCCAGCGGAAAAACGCAAAAGAGAACGTATTCCGAAAGAGGAGCGCAAGAGTTTGAGACTGTGGGCGGAGGGCGCCAGGGAGACAATCCTCGCACCACACATACACGGCTACACTGCCGCGCTCGACAAGGGTTGGCAAGAGGAGCGCGATTACCTTCAAAATGTCTGTAACGAATATCACGCTCGTGTCGACTGGAGAGTGGCAGATTGGGAAGAGCCAACGCTGGCAGGATTTCGATCGCAACAAGACCCAGCTATCAAAAGAGACTTTGTTGGAGGAGGACGAGATTGCGAAGCGGAAGAGGATCAAGACTCTGAACGCGGTAATTAGTCCATCAATATTATGTGGCACATGCTCAAACTCTTTCTTCCAGCGCATCCGTAGATGGTTCATCTATCGCGTCCGCAAGTCGCATAAGCGCCGCCATCTGACGAAAGACCTGACTAAGGATCCTTTCGCCGTGTTGCTCGCGAAACTGTCTGGCTTGAAAATTCCACCGAAGGCGCGACAACCATTTCAGCAAATGATGCATGAAGATTACAAGGAGAAGATCGCACCTGCGGTACTGGACGCATGGGGCGCGGCACAAGCGAGACAGGACAAAGAAACAGAGCTAACTCAGAAACCGAAGGCAGGGTTCCGTGCCAAGGTTGCACGCGACATATTCGCAGTGCTTCCAGAATCCGAGCGGAAGGCGCTGGGGGTGCGTGCGACAAAGGAGGCGGCGTTCACCAAGGCTCTGAAAGGCGGCCCGTCAAAACTTCCTGCGGATCGTCAGAAGTGAGTGGATGCCGAGTTTGGCACTGTCGTATCCCTGACGGTCACCCTTAGATGCATCAATGAGGTCGGGGACCTCATACGTCCGATCTTGTGCGGTCTGGAAGAGGCCACGGGTTTTCACTACTTGCTGTTGGGCGGGGGACCTGTGCCGAAATATGGTGGTGAACTGCGGACCATACAGTGCGTGAAATGAATCCCTTCACCGTTAAGATCGATTCTGACATGGAGGGTATAGCGTATCCGTGGGACGCAACAATACGGTCGCAGCGCCTCATTTTGCTCAATGGGATCGACCACGTTTCCAAGAAAATGTGCTCAAGTTTATGACTGAATATCTCGCGACCGCTTTTAGTGAGTATTATACCTATGATACGATGTGCGCGTCTAATTACTCCCACCAGCGCCTGAAGAGTGCGCTGCTGCGGCAATGCCCGACACTGCGGCCCTGGCTGCGGCGAAATACACCATTGACAAAGGCGCAAACACCGAACACGACGACAGCGACGAGAGCGACTTGGATTCGAGTAGCAGCAGCAGCAGCGATGACTCGGAGGATGAGGACTCTGACTCAGAGGATGAGGGGAGAAAGCGTAAAAAGTCTAGGTCTGAGACGAAGAAAGCGGAGAAGTCGAAAATGCGGGGGAAACAGACAACGCGACCGAGCGCAGCGGGAACGGCCGCGACTACCTCAGCTCCCACTGCCCCCGTCGCCTTCCCTTCCTCCCCGAACACTGCCGCGACTACTTCGGCTCCCACTGCCCCCATTGCCTTCCCTTCCTCCCTGAACACTACCGCGCCCTCGACTTCGATCACTCCCATTGCGATCCCTTCCACCCCTGCGCCGGGTACTGCAATGCACACAGTTGCAGTTGCCGGCAGCCCACACGTGGACCTCTACCGCCAACGGGAGGCGGCAAAGGAGCACAACCGTCTATTGCAGGCAGCGTTGTTCAGTGGCGTGGACATGGTCTTCACGAAGCAGTCCAGCGCCCCCAAGCGGACCCAACGAACAGCGAAGCCTGCGACGGCAATGCGGCCGCGCAGATCCACGTGGCTCCAGTCTGGAGATGACGCGGTGATGCAGATAGATGCCGAAAGGGAGGGCTCATTGCGTGGCGACGGGATGGAGTTCGACATATCCCCCGACCCTTCCCCACCATCTACCTCGTCACCGCGCCCCTTATCCCCCGACACGTCCCCGCCCTCATCGCCCCAAGTTGATGGGATGGAGGTCGACATATCGCCCGACCCTTCCCCGCCATTCACCTCGTCACCGCGCCCCTCATCCCCCGACACGTCCCCGCCCTTGTCGCCCCAAGTCGATGGGATAGAGGTCGACATATCCCTGGCATCTGCCTCGCCATCGTGCCACTCATCCCTTGACGCTTCCCCGCCCCAAGTCGACGGGATGGAGGTCGACACATCCCCGGCATTCGCCTCGTCACTGCACCATCCATCTCCCGACTCTTCCCCGCCTGCATCGTGCCAGGCCACCACACCCCCTTTGTCTGCCGTGACCACGACACCACGCAGCGTGTCCGCAGAGGTCTCCCTGCCCCCGTCCCCTCCCCGCTGTTCTTTATACCCCGAGTCTACGGTGCTGGGCGACCCACCCCATGCGCAGGAGCTGCCACCGCCCCACCCCCGCCCCCGCCCCGCTGCCCCGTATCGCCCAAGCCTGCAGCATTAAGTCACCTGCTCCATGCGCCGCTCCCGCCCACGCCCACCCCGCCACCCCGCCGTTCCATGACTGCTGAGCACGCGGCAGTAGATGGCCCACTCGACGCGCCGACGCTGCTCCCGCCCCGCCGCTCCCCATCACCCGAGCATGTCCCGCCCCCGTCGATGCGTGCGCGCCATTCTGCGAGCACTGCGCAGACCAGCCGCGATGTGCGCGGCAAAGATCCTTTGGTGGCGCCGGTGTGTCCGGCAAAGGCGGCGCAGTGGTTCGTGTCGGCGCACGCCCAGATGACGCGCGTGCCCCTCGGCTGCCATTTTAACGCGGTGTTGGCAGCGTGGATTAGGGTGGAGGCAGCATCGAAGTTCGAGCACGGCCCCATGAACTTACCATCGCGCAGGCGCCCGACGCACGTGGGGACGTGGATCGGGGGGGCACGAGGAACGCGAGGTACCGCTGACCCGAAGGTCACCGACGCGGCGGCATACGCGAGACAGTGGCAGACGTGGTGGGATGGCCTCCAGCCGGAGTGGAGGAAGAAGGAGAAAGACGGAAAGTGGTCGACGAAGGAGTATGGTGCCGGTGGGAACGAGTGGGGGCCACTCACTCAATGGGGTGTCAACGGGACATTGTCCATCGTGGCGTCGCTGTACTTCTGGGGGTGTGCGGTTCCCGGAGATGCCGAACTGGAGGCGCAGTGGGAAGCGGCGGTTCTCGATGTTGCGTGGGCGCTGGAAGGACTCGCGATCTTTTACGAGAAATTTTGATCACTTTGTATTGTTCGACTCGAATGAAATGTTTTTAGGCTTCATAAATAACAGAGATCGTCCGCCTATCGTCCGCTACGAGTTATGTAGAATAGGTGGGTCGAAGAGGTGTTTTCCTCTTTGCTATTATTCTTGTACCTTACATTATATGGTATGCTCCTACTCTTTCGTACATACACAGTGTCAAGCCTCCATGGATCAGGTGGATCTCCTGCAGATCGTAGTTTTGCGACAGCTTTTCTGCAGGCGTCGTGGGTTCGATTCCCACTGGGGGCATCCTCCGATTCACCATTTTTTTGTGTGTTTTTTTTTTTTGCAAAAACCTGATCCAGCCCCGGGACGGAAGCGAGACCGGCGGTGAGATAGAACGGAAGGGAAATTAACCAGGGGGAAGCCAATTTTATGCACCCCCAAAATCGGGTGCAGGAGGAGGGATGCCAAGCAAGGGCAAATTCACGCGAGGGATTCAAGCGGGGGAATCAAGGAACACTACAGAGAGGAATGGTTGAAAAAGCGAGCTAGGGTAATGGGGCTGGGTGAAACCGACGCGCTAGGGAGCAGGGGTAAGCCAGGGGGCAACAACAGCAGATACTAACAAATGTAAATAATGCGCTGAACGCGTGGATACGGGGCCCCTAGGGCGAATCCACGTGCCCAGAAAATCCTGTAGTATTGGAGGGGATGCCCCGGGTCAAAAAGACGCGCTAGGGATTAGGGGGAAGCTGGGGGGCAACAACAGCAGGTGATAACAAGTGTAAATAACGTGCAGAACGCGTGGATATGTGCCCCCCAGAGCAAATCCACGTGTCAAAAACATCCTATGACATTTCCTAACAATTGTGTACACCGTAGGAATATTGGGAGGGGATGCCGGGCCAGAGGAGGCCCAGAAAACGCGATCACGTGGTTGCATTTTGGATTCTACAGGGAATTGATGCCGCGGGCAGATGCCGGGGCGCGGGTGCTGAGGAACGGGTGCAAATAGAGGGCATGGGAATTTGCGCGGGGGGAGGACGAAGTACCTGATGGGTTTGCAACAAGGCCATCAAAAAGAAAAACATTTATTGACAATATTGCATGCTGCCAATCAAATGGTATACAGCCCTAAATAGACCTGCGTGCGTGGGAGAGGCCCAGAAAGGGCCGGCCAGCACTGCTGTAGGCTACGTACACCCAGCCAAGCAGTTGGCTGGTGCCATGCCAATACATAGCAATTACCTTTGGCTAGCGCCAAAGGTTTTTTGCTATATTTTACAGCTATGGCTCGCTTGTATTCCTTAGTCTTTTATTCCATCATTCTTCAAGCCTCACTCTTACCGAGCACCTCCAATCCGCATTGTGCGTCCATTGGGTGTTCTTGAGCCTTGAGCGTGACATAGACCGGATCCATGGGCGTAGGTTATCGAATTTTGGACACGTAGACATCAACACCATTCTTTCCTCTATTAGGGGAGTTCAAAGTTAAAACGCGCCGGACGCTTTTTCGCTTTTTCGCCGGACGCTTGTCATCAGGTGATTTATTGATTTTGTTTGGATCATCAATGGACAGTCACATCACAAAGTGGGCATCGTTGGCGACGCGGTCATCGTTCCCGGTGCCGTTGGCGTCGATGTTGGCAGCGTTGATAGGCCCAATGCTAATACGGAGCAGTCACCTAACTACCTATTAGATCACTTATATTAATCTTATTGGTTTTCACGGTAGGATTGGTGCGCTCAATGGCGCTCTCAACGTTGAAAACCATTCCCGACGTCGGGCGACATCGCGCCCGACAGTGAAGGCGATGATCGGGAAAGTCGGCCTGATTGTTTGGCATCGTCTGATGTGACACGGAATCGGCCGAAAATCACATGACGAAAAGCATCCGGCGAGAAAAGCGAAAAAGTGTCCGGCGCGTTTTAACTTTGAACTCCCCTATTGATATAGTAAATCTAGTACGCTAGTACCCTTTGAAAAACATAATTTCCTTCTTGTAAAATGTCGATGATCAGGGCTCCAGATTCCTCTCCGAATGAGCCAATGTGCCGGTGTATTATGGGAGACATTATCTTGCCTGAGGTCTCAGAGAGGTATGAGCGAGCGACAGAGAGAAGCTAATTTCAACCTAGCGCTCCACACTATTCTCTCCCAGTTCCGGGAGTTCCCTGCGACACACACTATAATATCTAAACAAAGGAAAAATAAATATGTCCTCCGAGAATCGAACTCGCGATGGTTAATCCATGTTGGGAGTGTGCGTGCGCAAATAGGTGGGCTCAAAGTTGAGTTCTGCGGCCGGCCGCAGACGCAGGAGGCTGTGCAAATGGGTCACATCACATACCAAATAACGATTCCAATGCGGCGATGACCCACTGTGGTGCCCGCAAGTCGTGCGCCTGGTGTCGGGTCGCTTGTCGGGATCCCTCTCACCATCGTCGGGAGCTCCTCAACGCAACATTTGGGGTACCTATAAGGTTTTCTTTCCATTCCGTCATAGTTATAAGGTTTATAAAGTCAATATATCTAAGGCTAACTAGCTAGAAATACCTCTAGATGAGATTGTGGAACGGGGTCAGCGCTGTTGACGGTGGTCGACCATTGTCTGCTGTTTTCCGCCGATTTATTTGGTGTTTGATGTGACTCACTTACACAGCCTCCTGCGTCTGCGGCCGGCCGCAGAACTCAACTTTGAGCCCACTTAATGAAACTGTGTGCGCCAACACACCGGCCAAATTGAATATTCAGCTCGGCTGATTGTCACCCGAAAAGATCCTTTTCAGCTACTTATTCAGCTGGAGGCATTTTTGCCATTGGCTCGGAAAATTCCAGCTGAACATGTTGCCGAAAATGGTATTTTCAGGTAACGTTTAGGCAGCATAATCCCGGCTGAATATTCACTTTCGCAGGTGTGGAATGAAACTATGTGCGTGAAATAATAAATGTACACTCTGAACGTCATAACGCGAGGCGCGGCCGCGCGACGCAACTTGACTTGATTGCAACTGGATCAAGAGACTATGTAGACTGGGTTCAAAAATTGACTGTGAGCTGGGGGAAACAACCTTCACTGTGTTACCAGGCAAACAGCATTTTACTGAGAAATATCCTTTACCGGGAAACAACCTGGGAAAACAAGCTTGACCGGCAAGGAAAATATAATGTTTACTTTGAAATCACCTTTCCTGGGCAACAGCCTTCATTAACAAAGCAGAAAGCTCTTGAGAAAATAAGCATACAGGTGATATCAGCCCGTGAATTTATTCACGGGTAGCGACTAGTTTTCTTAGATTATCGTGAGCATCCGGGCCGAGCCGAGTCGGGCCGATCTCCCTAGTGCATACGGTTCTCGTTAGGCCGCATGGCCAAAGGCCAGATATCTTTGCTACTGGTAACTGGTATGTTCATGTCTATACACTCCAACTCATCCATTCACATATTCATCAGTCTTCTGTTTCTCTCTCTATGTCGACGCGGCCCTTTCCGTGGATCCCGTACCCCCCCTGCAATGGCTCAGGTACATTTAGCTCATCCCCCAAAGTTCTGCATTTCATGGCATGGTTGGCAGACTCGATACATTACTCAAGGGCTCAACTTCGCCCGGTGGACTGAAGGACGCTAGCATGGGATACAGCGAGGAAAGGTCTGAATTTGTTGCTTCGCAACCGGAAGCAAATTGAAATAACAATCCAGGCGGACCCTCATCATATTTGGGGGCGAGGCTTCGTCAACTGTACCTCAAGGGCAGACATATCTGTAATACCTCACTTCTACATTTGAACGCGCACCTCTCTTATCCATGCGCCTTCCTACGCAGGCTCAATCTTGAGAGTCTTACTTGGTCAACACCATCGCCACCTGTGACTCTCCAACAGACACCGCCTGCCAGGAGCGCGGCAGGTATACATCAAACCCACTTTTAGGTCGATGCGCGATCCTGACATACGGATTTCTAGTGTCGGGTGTTGATAGTGCCGCCAGCAAGTACGTCGCTCAACTTTTTTGGATGCCTTGTTTTCTTACCTTGTCCTAGTCGGGATGGCTTCATCGTTTTAGGCGGCAAGGGCGCCGATGGTGCAGCCCTGTCTGACGTATGGGTCGGTGTTTTACGCGATTACTGGATGCATATCTTAAATTGATCCCAGGAGTTTGATTTCACCAATCAGTTCTGGGCGGAAGTGGTACGTTATAACTCTTCGTCCAGAATTTAGCCCTGAACACTTCTCTCAAGACCATCTCGCCGGGTGGACCTTCAGCTCGCTGGGGATCGAGTGGAGGTATTGACACGCGTGTCCCCCCAGTTTCGGATCCAGTGTTGCCCGGGCCAAACAATACACTTTGGCTTTGGGGTGGAGAGAACGGTCAATCTTCATTTTCCGACCTATGGCGTCTGTGAGTACACACACGCGCATCGCCTTTTTATTTCTCTAATCTTTGTTTCAGCAATATTTCGGGAACACTCTCCTCCAATATGCCCAACTCTGCAGTTGGCAGTTGGGAGCATCTACCCCTAGCCAACCTGCCGGAAACGGTTGGTCAAGGAGGTGGTGTCTCAGGCGACCAAATCGTGTTCTCGGGAGGCTGCAATACCACGTCATTCTCGGGGGACGCCTGTGCCCTGCAGGACACCTACATTATTAACGCTGGAGCCAACGGTGCCACGGAGTCGGCTGCCCTCAAATGTCCTGCCCCGCGACTTTCTCCGACCGTTGTGCCGAACGGCAATGTGGTTTCCGTCACTTTCTCCAACCAGATGTTCCTTCTCCTTGGCACCTTTAACACAAGTCTTTGGAACGACAGTGGTGGACTGGAAGCGGGCGAAGTGGTGAGCTATATTCTGCCAAAAGTTACCATTATTTCAGCCGCTGTCTTTCAGGCGGTTCTGGACACCAATAGCCAATCATGGACACGGATAATACCTTCCGGGGATCCTGGTACTTCCGGCACCCCATCTTTCCCTTCGCCGCGGGACGGTGCGGTGGCTGTGATGTCTCCTCTGTCGCTCGTGGGTCAATCCCGGACGTCTTCTTCCGACATAATCGTGCGTTTCCATCGATCAAATGCTGATCACGTCTTACAAATTTCCCAGGTCTTTGGAGGACGTGACATGGATGGCAATTATCTCTCGGAATTATGGCTTTTGAGGGCATACAATGGCTCTGTCACACCAACAGATCCCAAGTGGTCCGGTTTTGGCAACGGGCAACTGCAAACTGGTGTGGATGCAAATGGAGCTGGGGTTGAGAATACATTCATCTCCAGCTGTGCCTCTGCCTCCGCAATTGCGGGGTCGGGCATT